AACCGAGTACTGTTTGCTATATTAATTAATAAGCTTACTAAAGGAACAGAAGTTATACTTATTAAATTAGCAAACAACATGCAGGAGAAGAAGGGATGACTGCAAGCATGTTGGGGAGTAAACTCTTAACTCGTAATGATCCTGACAAATCAGAAAGATGGTGTGAAAACCATAGGATGTAATTCAGCTGGGACTAATGTAAGGTTTTACATTAAGGCAGAAATAGGGAACTGTACAAATGCAGGAAGAGGAACGATCGTCCACCTATGCTATCTGTACCATCTTACTGTGGACAGCAAAACAAACGCGTAACAATGTCACTCTATGGGTAAAAACAAGATGCCTCACCATGATGAGCAAACAACATCATGGCCTATAAAATTCACAAAGTAATTTTCTTGTTTTCATCAGCGCAAGTCCCGAGGAGGAGGCTGTACGCCGGTCAGGGCACTGCACGTCACAGCGGATGCAGATCAACTGGAAAGATCCCAGTGGTGCACAATAAGGACAAGGAGAAGTTAGAAAGCATGACCCACAAAGAGATACCAAATAAACTGCGACTGCTGCAGGAAGGAAGAGAATAATCTGTCCTCAGCGTTTACTTTGTACAAGACAAAGAGAACAGAGCTTGTATTGCTGCGAATGAGCTTTAGCGCAGACGTCAGAGGAAATCTTCTAAGAATAGGATGGCGAAGCACCGAAACAGATTGCCCAGAGCAGTGTGAAGTCTCGTCATGACAGAGCTTTAAAAACCGGGTAGAAAACAGAAATAATAGAGGGTGAATTAATTCTGCCTTGCAGCACAGTCATGATTAAATAATTGTATGTCTCCTCTAGTCCTGTTTTACAGGATTTTATGAAGTACCATAGTCACAATGTGGAAATTCCAAACTAAAATTACACTCCTGGATGCCAACTTGAGGCTTCCATCACTAGACTGTGCAGTCGCCAACAGGGTTGCCCTACGACGTGAGCTAGAAATCCATACCCAATCCAGAAGTCATTTGGATTAACCCAGGATATTTTTCCTGAAGACTGCTGAGCAGCTGGGAGCAAGAGAAAGGTGGAAAAACGTAACCCCAAATTTCAAGATGTACTTCAGATACTTGCCTGCAGGATAGTCTGAGCTATCTCAGGATTCTCTGGATTGTCAAAATTCAGGAGCTGGGAGCCAAACCCGTAGTAGTACGGCCCCATTTTATGCAGATCAACCACATTGGCGTCAGCGCTGAACACCGTCCTCCAGGCTTCCTTGTAAATCTTTGGCAGTTCCACGGAAATGATTCTTCTTTTGCTGTCGTGCAGCCCTTTAGCAAGCCACAGGGGTATCTCCAGCTTCGATCCCTGCGCGAACGAGAAAAAACAAAAGGTGTGCTCGCCACGAGAATACACGTATTTTCATGCAGTGGACAGGCAGTGAACTTCATTAATGAAGATCCAGTGTTACAAAAAAGTGAATTTTGTTTTCGGAACAGTCTACTGCAATAGAAAAGAGACACACTTTAGAGGCATTGATTATGACCGCGAGACTCGGGAAGTGGATTTCTTTATTGACGTCCCATTGTCACATTATTGAACACCACAAGGAAAAGAAAAAAACAACCACAAACCCCAAACATGCAAAACGCACCCAATGCAAGCAAACACCACTCCGTGACG